AGAGGCTACCGGAGAGATTGACTGGCTCTGCGCCTTAGCGCCTGTTTTGTCTGTTCGCTCACAGAAAGAGATCGCGCAACTCAAACAGGATGGAGAGACCATGCGGAAAGAGACCGTGGGGAATCTGCAGCGCTTGTCAGAGGTACGCCGGCTCGAGTTCCCAACCTGTCTTCAGTGTGTAGTGTGTGATCATGAAGTGTTTACCCATTTTAAGCATTGAATCCTCATTATCATCAGTCATTCGGGTACAGAGTAGTTTAATATACAGTTCCTTCTGCTTTTCTGTGGCAGAGTTTTCAGCCCGAGTGAAAATGTCAGTTTGATGAAGTATGAGTTGTTGTTTTATCGAGTTCTGAATATTTGAGTGCGGCTCAAGATGCAGTCTCATCTTCGTAAGAAAACAGAAATAAACTATAACACCCGCCTCCCCCAAATTAGGATTTGCACCAAATCTGTGAACTGCACTCTGATCCATTTTATTAAGACTTAGTTTGTACTTTTCTGCTACTGTCACTCAATATTTTCTCTTCAGCTTATCACTCCATGACAGATTAGTATTTTGTAGTACCCAAAATAGCCGTTTAGCTTTATAGATGTACACAGAGGAACAAACCTTGTTCGTTATCAGGAAGCCCCTGCAAGCGGTCCGGTGTGATTGGCGAATGGGATGAGCGTGCATGTTTATGTCAGCTTGGGCTGTTTTGATCAGTGTGAATCGAAAGATAAAGGACACGCTCGTTCCTCCTCACCCGAACGAAACTGTGTTCATAACAGCCAGACACAGCTGTTACAGCAGTGGAAACCACACGCGTATACTGCAGCTTGTGATGGTGCCAGAGATCTTTTCGGCATTAGCACAGCAGCGTGCATCAGAAGGACTCAAGCGAGTGAGAGCCCGTGCAGAACCATATACCTCCAGCTGTGGCTCAGTAGCTCATCAATCCCAGAGGCCTCATCCAGCTGTTTCTTGAATGATTCCATGTGATCAGGTTCAGCGGTATGGCTGGACTGGTTGTTCCAGACGCCCACAGCTTTCTGTGTAACGTAGTGTCTCCTGTTTTCTGTCATAAACACAACTGTTCTTGGTGTGAGCTTGTGCCCCCTGCTCGCCGTGTCATTGCTGGGCGCTGGGTACAGTCCCTAAGGCTGACAGCTGTCCAAGCCTGTGAGGATTTTAAGGTCTTTAAGACAGACCCCCTCACAGTCTCTTGTGTGTGTGTGTCTCTGCTCCTGTCTGCTTGTGTGAGTTAACGGTGTCTGTGTTTTCTCCCTCAGCGAGTTCAGGCCGAAGTGTCCGACCTCAAATCGTCTCTTAAAAGGTAAGATGTCTGACGTCTGCACCTTCTTTTTTTTTCCCTTTTCTTTCTGTGTCTGCCTGTCCATCTGATGGCGGCGTCGGGCGGCGGAGGGGGCGGTGAGGATGCTGGGCGGCAGTGTGTCACACGACCGGCCTGTTACAGGGTGTGAAGTGTGCTCTCTGTCGCCCCCTAGCTGGCAGTCGGAGGATAGTGCCCGGGCACTGGAGAAGCTGGCCCGCCTGGAGCAGGAGCTGAC